GGTGTCGGCGAATTTCAAACAACGCGAACAACAGCAAAATTGCAACTGTTTTGCAGCTCAAACACCCCTGCACTGAGGAAAAAACCCACTTTCATCTTTTTTATACTTTTTTTTGTGCTTTTTCCTTTTTTATAAGAATCTTAAGTTCTTGATAAAAAGAAAAAGTATCCCTTTCAATTAGCAGAATCCTAAAAAATGGTTAAATACATTCACCATCTGAAATTTAAACATAAAATGTAGGTGTGCATGGGTTCAAGTATTAGTTTTGAATTTTTACCTTGAAGTTCTAAATTAAAAATTAATTTAGAAATTTTTGCTTATTAAAGGGGCTTTTAAAAACATAAAATCAATTATTTGAATATTATTAATTTGAATTAAAAAAAAAAAGGCCGGAGAAAAAATAAATATTTAAAAATAAAAAATTTTTTTTTTATGATTTAGTATTTAACTTTTGTTGTCGAAGTTAGAATTATATGCTTCTTCACTTGGCTTTAAAAATGTAGAATCACAAAGAAAAGAATATTTTTTTCGGTGCACAGTGACTGTCACCCCGCGCTCCCCTCGGCCTCCCCCTCATATCGCAATTAATAATCGAGTAGAGAGAAAAACGAGGCGCGGCATAGCTGAGACTCAACTGCAACTCAGCTGAAACTCAACTGGAACTCAACTGAACTGCATCGTGCGCCCTTCTTTTTGATTTAAAATGTGCCGCCATCGCACGTAGGCGTACTCACACGCAGTTCACCTAGCCCGCGAAAACAAGTGGCCGGGCGGGGACTTTGCCTTCATCAGTCAAGTGTGTTGTCTGCTGGCCTGGACCACAAAAGGTTGCAGCTGTGGGCCACAAGAACTGGCAGAGCACTCCAAGGATGCAACGGGCAACGGCAACTGGCAACAGCAACTGGCAACAGCAACAGCAACTGGCAACTAGCAACTAGCAACATTCAACGGTAACTGCAACATCAAGCATTTGTGGGCTGATGGCGTGTGCGTGGGCTTCTGGAGCTGGACTTTTGCCTGGGTGGATCCAGTGGATGTGGATGTAGATGTGGATCCAGTGGATATGGTGGATCGGTGGGATCATCATTGATCATTGTCTGATCTTGTGACCAGTGACCAGACTTTGACTTTGATTGCCATCTGGAATTGGGCTAGCAGTCTCAGTCATAAAAGAAAGCAGATGGACTGCCTTAAAATATTTTTGTATTAAGCCGAGGGAATCAGAGAAAGTCTTTATAATATTTTTAAATAATATTATTATATAATGGCATCTTATGGTTAAATCTATAAGACAAAGGACTTATAATAGAGCTAGTGCAGCAAAGGTCTACAATATTTTTCAATAATTGTGAATAATATATTTTTCTTGGAGGTAATGAATATTGAATATATACTTTAATATATTTATAATGAATTTAAATGTTGTAGAATATATTTAACAAATATATATATATTTAAATTTTGTATTTATTATAATTTAATACACATTTCCCCCCCCTTAAATGTGCCTTTCAGCCCCCAAGAAAAGGTTTAAACTCCAATCAATTCTCCCTTCTTATCTGGCTGAATTTGTAATTCTTCTAGGCATTAGCTAACAACTCACACTCTATACAGCCAACCCGAACCGCCCACTTTAAAAACCACTTGGCAATTAAGTTTATAAATAAATAAATCAAATGCAAATTTCTCCAGTGGCTGAGGAGCAAAAAAAAAACGCATTCATGAAAAAAATAGTAGTAATAAAAGCAGAAAAAACGAAACATGAAAGGCAAAACGGCGGCCTTCTTGTGGGTGTGACATTGGGGGGTGGCCAAGGGGGCGGGGCAGGCGCCTCAGGTGAGCGGCCAAGCATGAGGAGTGGTGGGGGGGGGGGGGGTTTTGAAAGGGGGGGCCAAGAATCGTTGGCGGCTCGTCAGGGAGCCTTAATTAGAAAATTGCTAATAACTCATGCACACGAACAAATTTCAATATTAATGAGTTTTAGGCCAGCGACGGCAGCAACATCGGGCATTGCAGTAGCAACAGCAGCAACATCACCTGGCACAGCAGCAACATATGCTGACTGAGTTTAGGAACCTGCAGCGGCGGGGGTCTTTAATTGAAAATAACCAACTAGGAACTAAGAACTATGAGCTGAGAACCGAAAAGAGCATCTTGACCAGAAACTGTGCACTGTGGGAGATCAGTTGGCCAAGAGGCCCCTTTGCCTGGCTGGCTGCCTGTCTTACGCTGCTCATTAACTTGGCTGAAAACTCTATAGGAAGCCGCAGCGGCCCATCATCATTTGACTGATTTAGTTGTCAGTAATGGTCGAGCCTTCTTGCCCCTGTTCCCCTGCCCCTACCCCCCCCCCTTTCGCCCACCCATTTTGGCCGTCTTTTTTTTTTCCTAAAACCCCTCTCATAATTAGCATGCAAGCGGCATAAATCGCAGCAGCAACAACAATTAACAGACCCAAATTGCATGCAACACAGCAGATTTTTTCTTTATTCTCTGCTATTTTTTAGCGGCTTTCTCTGGGGCTCGGCTGCATTTTTTTTTTTAGGTTTTTGTCTATATTTCTCCTACTTAGCATGCATTGCAGGCAGTCATTGACGTCTGCAACAGAACACGTAGGCAAAGCAGCGACAACAGCAACAGCAACAGCACAGCAGCAACAACTGTCAATTATATTAGTTGTTGTTACTACACACAGCGCTAATTCAAAAATCATGCGTGGGCAGCAGCAGCAACAGCAGCAGCAACAGCAGCAGCAACACGCCAGCAGCAGCAACATTGCCGCACAGCAGCAACATGGCCACTGGCAACTTCTCTTAATTAAGTGTCGACCTGCCGTTGCATGCAAATGGAAAAAGGCTAAAAAAGAAACAAGAAGTTTTTCCCTCTGTTGCCGCTGTGTTGCTGATGTTGCTGCTGAGCTGCTGCTGCTGCTGCCGATGTGTCGACCTTTAGCCATTGCGTGTTGCCTGCCACTTGGGCCATAATTTCCAGGCCAACATTTTGGCTTTTCCTCAATGTGTGTGTGTGTGCGATCTTTAACTGAATGGGAAATACTGTGAAAAGGTTAAGGAAACACTAAAAGTTTCCCAAAAGCCAGAAAAACCACACTTGCAATAAGGAGTGGAGAAATATGGAAATTAAAGAGTTGCCTGCCTTCAAATAACGAAAATATATTTAAAAGGCTTGCTTAAAATAGTTAAAATTTAAAAAACTCATATGAATAATATTGAACCAAGGAAAATTCGAGTTTTAAATCACTAATTAAGCTATTTTTCTGGAAATAAAATATTTAATTGCTATTGATACCTCTTCAAAAAAAGAACCCTTTAAAAAACTCAAATAAATAGAATTGATTTAAAGAGGGTAAAATTTTTGTAATTCAATAGAAATAATTGATTGGTTTTTAAAAAATGATATTAGTAGTAACGGAAACTCTTCAGAAAAAAAAAACCATTTTAAGGAAGTCATAGGAAAAATATCTATTAAATGAAACTACAACTTTTTAAGCACTAGTTAGGCTATAGGAACAGCTCTATTATTTTTTTTAGAAATCCATATAAGCCAGTGCTAACGGGAAAAGGAACCATTTTAATGTCGATTTTTATGTTTCCAATTCCATTTTTTTTTGCAGTGCCAAGTGTTTTGTGTGCCCCACTGAAAGTTCGCACGAATTTTCCACCTAGAGGAAAATCCGGGAAAAGAGCCAGAGAGACGGGGAAATAACAAAATGCATGCGTAATTTACGCTTTACGATCGCAATGGCCTCAGATACTCATATACAGATTCTAACTCCTCTATAATATCGTTATCGAGCTGCGAAATCGCTTCGAGGGGCTCCACTTGCAGGGGCTCACGGGGGCACAAAGGGGGTCTGTTTTCGGGAAGGGGAAAAGGGGTTTTCCAGGGGCGCTGGGACCGAGATCCGTTGCATGCTGTGTGCCCGGTGCGTAGTGCAATAAATCAAAGTTTTATTTGTTGAAATAAATTCAGAGTTTATTGCTTCGTTATTATTTCGTTTCTTTTTTTTGCCATTTTTTTTTTCTCCTGCAACTGAGATTTCCAACACCAACAGGGGAAACAACAACAACAACAACAACAACAGCGACAGTTAGCCATCAAAACAGCGTTGTTTGGCCGGAAATGTTTGCTGTTACCATTGGGGCTTGGTGTTCGTTTGCAATTTCTTTCTTGGGTTTTTTTTTTCATTTTTTTTTTTTGAGTTGGGGGCCCTGCCTAATTTTAGATCGTTTCGTTGATTGCCTGGATCGAGTCGGCTGCCCGATTAATTATTTAGCCATCAAATTAATGCAAACTGATGGCGCGATCTGCGAAGAGACAGTTAAAGCCGGCTCAAAAACTTAACTGCCAATTAAAGTAAAAGGCCGAAAGTGTCTGGGAATATTGAAAGCAGAGTCTGGCAAAGCTTTCGCATAACATATTGATGGAATATTTTAGGCCCAAGAGAGTACAAAAACAAAAATTCGTAAAGGAACTATTGATTTTTGTGGCCCAAACAAGAAATATGAAAAAAAAAACTTGGATGAAACTGCAAAGTCAGCATTTTGTTATGGAAATAACGCAGTGACACGCCTAGTCACGCCCTCAATTGCCTCTCAACCCGCAGATAACCCCCTGAAAATACAAATTTTTTTTTATATATTTTGTTGGGTGGCAGTGACATTTGTGAACCCTGGGCAAGATTTCGCAATTTGTTTGGCATTTGTGCTAAAGCTTTGGCATTAATTGCATCTAAAGATACGCCGATACAAAGATACACCTATCTGAGTGCATGTATCTGCAGTTGATTACGCAATTTCAATTACCAGCAGCCCGAACACCAAATTAAGAAATTATTATTCTCGATCGAGAGTCGCGCGGGTCGCGTCGAGTCATTCTCACTTGTTTTCAATAAAAATGCCTTTTGCCCACCAGACCCAACTCAACTAATTATTAATTATACACCTTGCACACACTGTGTTCTTTTTTTTGTATTCTTGCAGCAGCGTAAGCTGTCACCGACATGGGCAGTGAGCACTACTGCTTGAGGTGGAACAATTACCAATCCAACCTGTTAGGGGTGTTTAGTCAATTACTACAAGACGGGAGCCTGGTGGACGTCACACTAGTTTGTTCAGAGGGCACATCCATCAGAGCCCATAAGGTGAGTACTTGTTTAATAATCTCTTAATATAAATAAATAATAACATCATTATTGCATCTAAAAACCTTTTAAACCCAAGTCACCTTAAAGGAACTTTGTTTCTTAGGCATATATATATATTATTTTAAAGATATTTCATAAAAACTTTCAGTCAAAACAATGTATTCTCATAACTAGTTGCTTAAATTATAAAAATATCATGGTAGTAACTTTGTTACTTAGGTCAATACTTTTTTATAGGCAAAGTTGTTCAACAAACCGGAATCAAATATTGTGGTAAGGCTGATAAAAGTAGATCTTGCCTTAAATAGGCATCTGGTCATACTGCAAATATCAAATAAGGAACTTGAAAACATATTTTTATTTAATACATTTAATTTATATTTTACTTTAAATTCTTTTTTTCATTTATCCATATTATACCCTTTTAAAATAAGTCTAAAAAAATTGGTAAAAATATTTTTTTAAAAAGATTAATTCTTGTCTAGTATTTTTTCCCATTCATAGTATCATTTAATTTTCTTTTTTTCTTTTGGTAATTTTTCTTAATGAACCCTTTTTGTTAGCTTTTTTTTACTAACTGGGTTACCATTGACAGGCTTATTTACAAATGATATTTGCAACGTTTTCCGCCGCTTACTCGAAGAAAATTCCATTCCCATTGCCTGGGAAAACTGCGAATGGGCAAACTGTAACTGTAAAATGCGGAAGTTGACCATCAAGGTCGGCGCTGCAGTGGCTGTCTAACTCTTTTGTTATTGTTGCTCCTCCGCCCCTCTGGTTTTTCTTTTTTTTATGTGTTTTTTCCTTGAAATGCCAGGCGCATAAATTAACGCAGCAACAGCAACAAGATCAAATGCAATTTACACATTTGTCAGTAAATTGTCAACTTAACGCGAGCCAAAGCAGCGACGCAGGCAGCGAATGTTGCTACTGCAACGGCAACAGCAGCAACAAGCAATTGCAATTGCTGCTGGCCCGGCAACATGTTGACAAGGTCAGCATCTAATGGAAATTGACGGCGGTGCAACCGCAGTCATCTATCTCTTCCTCTTCCTCTCGCCAAGTGTGAGTGCATAAATCATGCGTTGCCCAGACGACAACAGCAGCACCAGCAACAGCAGCAGCAACAACCACACCAGCAACACCAACAACCAACAACCACAGCAGCAACACCAACAACCAACAACTTCGTGCTCACGTCTGTCAATTGAAATTCCTGTTAAATTAAGCGGAAAATATTTAACTGCGTTAACTGTGGCCAATGTGGCCAGCGTTTTCCTACCAACAAAACTAGACTTGCAGCCAAAGAAGCGAGGAGCGAAAAAGTCGAAGAAGAAGTTGATAAAGTTATTTTTGAATCTGGCCAGGAAAACTGGTAAATTGTTCAATTATAAATGTGCATCTCAGACACTCGCAAAACATTTTCATTAGCCAAAGGAGGAGAAGAGGGTTGGGGGGCTTTAAGCGATGATCAGAATGAAAATGAGAATGGGCATGGAAAATTATCCCAGGAGAGGGGGGCAGTGCAAACTGGAAATGCCAAAGGAAAAAACTGTCTCAACCAATACTAATTGACACTTTAGTTAATAAGAGTCAATTTAAAAATTACTGAAAAATACCAGAAAATAATAAGGGTAATTTATAAGCTACTGAAAAAATACCACAAAGTAATGGGTTAAGAATGGATGGTTAAGAAATCCTTTTATAAAGCTAATCAATATGTCCAGCAAAGGGAATCTCTTTCGAAATCTCACCAATCTTAATTATTTTTGAGGAACATATACTAATTCAGATATCCAAGTTAAAAAGAAACAATTTTAAACTTACTGAAAAAATACCAGAAAACAATGGATGATTAACCATAAGAAATCCTTTTGCAAAACGAATCAATACATCCAACGAGGGAATCTCCCACCACAGCTGATCAATCTTAATTAGTTTCTGTGCTTTTCGATGCTTAAACGAAATCCATTCAATTGACTAAATTCCCAAAAAATGGGAAAACTGCAGAGCCACTCGATTAACTCATTTCCAGTTCGATGCAAAGGACATTCTGGGGCCACTCCTCTGTTTACTGGCAAATCAACTTCATTAGGCATGGATGGCAGAAGAATGAAGAAATGGCAAACAAACAAACAAACAAACTGATGAGTTCATTTCCTTTTTAGACACTCGTACCCAAACGAGTGGCGAAAAAAGGGCTGGGAAAACAGAAAGAATTGAAAAATCAAGTAGTCAGGGAGGACACATGTCCTCGGATGCCTGGGCAAACTAATTAGCAAATGCACACATAGAGCGGAGAAACAACTGTCGGCATTTTAGACGGATGGATCGACTAAGGAGGCTGCGAAGGATTGTGCATCCCAAGGATGGCAGGACCCAGAGACCTGAACTGTCAATTACTTTTGCATATACCCACATGTAGATGTAGATATGTATATGTATGCATGCCGAAACGAATCCGCAGGCGCCTTGGAAATCGAGTCCCCCAAGCAAGGACACCAAAAGGATGCGGGGACGAACAACAAAAAATTGTTAAATTGATTAAAAAGCAAAGTGTCGATGAACGAGGCAATGATGACAGCAGGCACTCAGCCACTCGGTCGGCGAGGAGTCAGGATCAGTGGCCAGGACAGCCAGGACATGCGGCCAGGACATGCCAGCCAGGCCAAAGTCAATTCAATGGAAAGCAGGCCGGCAGGGGCGACGGAAAAAGTATAAAAAAGGTGCAGAGCCAGTGGCGTCGGCTGGATGGTCCTGCATCCTGGCCATGCGTCCTGAAATGGAGCCAAGCCAAATATGCGCTCATGTGCGTGGGGAGTGCATTTGCGAGGGTCGCACATGAAGTTGGGCCTGCTTAGAAGTGCTTAGAACACAGATATTTTTGTTGGGAAATATATTTGTGTGCACTGTATTTTTTTTTTTAAAACAATTCAGCATCCAAAAAACTGAATTTTTTTGGTGAGAAAAAGGGTTTTAATTTTTGTCAAAATACAAAATTCAGATTCTTGTCAAAAATAAGCAATATTTTTTCGGTTTTTTCATCGTAGTTTAGTCAAATCAAGGCGTACAACTAAAATACCGACTGTTTTGAGCGGCTTGCTAAATATGCTAACGATCCTCACCACTTTTATGAAAATTTATTTTTTTACCAATTTTCACATTTTTTGCAAGGGGTTACATCACTTTTTTTGCGAAAAATGGCAAAAATAAAAAATTTTCAGGTTAGAATGCCAATCGATTGGAAATTAAACCACGAGCTCAACGAGGTATGACATTCCTCATTCTGACTTATATTTTTGTTATGGCAGCCAAAATACTGAATTTTTATGGCGAAAAAAGGGTTCAAATTTTTGTCAAAAATACAAAATTCAGATTTTTGTCAAAAATGCGACATTTTTTTTCGGTTTTTTCATCGTAGTTCAGCCAAATCAAGGCGTACAGCTAAAAGACCGACTGTTTTGAGCAGCTTGCTTCATATGCTAACAATCCTCATAATTTTTGGGAAAATTTATTTTTTGACCAATTTTCTCATTTTTTGTAAGGGGTTACATCACTTTTTTTGCAAAAATGGCAAAAATAAAAAAATTTCAGGTTAAAATGCCATTGGATTGCAAATTAAGCAACGAGTTCAACGAGGTATGGCATTCCTCATTCTGACTTATACTTTTGTTATGTCAGCCAAAAAACTGAATTTTTTCGGCGATTTTTTTTCACAACAAATACGAGATTCAGATTTTTGTCAAAAATGCGACAATGTTTTTCGGTTTTTTCATCGTAGCTCAGCCAAATTAAGGCGTACAGCTAAAAGACCGACAGTTTTGAACAGCTGGCTTAATTTGCTAACGATCCTCATCATTTTTAGGAAAATTAATTTTTTGACCAATTTTCTCATTTTTTGTAGGGGTATCATCACATTTTTTCGAAAAATGGAAAAAATAAAAAATTTTCAGGTTAGAATGCCAATCGATTGGAAATTAAACCACGAGCTCAACGAGGTATGACATTCCTCATTCTGACTTATATTTTTGTTATGGCAGTCAAAAAACCGAATATTTTTGGCGAAAAAAAAGGGTTTACATTTTTGTCAAAAATACAAAATTCAGATTTTTGCCAAAAATGCGACATTTTTTTCCGGTTTTTTCATCGTAGTTCACCCAATTCAAAACGCACAGCTAAAAGACCGACTGTTTTGAGCAGTTTGCTTAATATGCTAACGATCCTCATCACTTTTATGAAAATGTATTTTTTGACCAATTTTCGCAATTTTTTTTTTGCAAAAAATGGCAAAAATTTAAATTTTCTAGGTTTTAATACCAACAGATTGGAAATTGAACTACGAGTCCAACGAGGTATGACATTTACTATTTGGACCCTTGTTTCTTCTTTGGCATTCAAAACACTGGCAAAAAAATGGGGTTCCGAATTTTGCCAAAAATACTGCTGTTTATACTCGTTTACTCCTGTTTAGCCAAGGCATACAACTGTTTTAGGACTTTTTAGCTAATATAAAAATGTATTTTCCTGCCAGAAACTCCTCGTCCTCCCCTCTCTTCAGTCGATTCCTGGGCATCGTGTGGAAGTGATTTTTTTACCCACCATTTGCAGTTGTAGTTTGCCTTTTTCCCCGGCTCCTGTGTTTTTGCCACAGGCCTTTGTCCTGCTGGAGTGTGGAAGCGAGACAGGAAGCGGGCGGAAGAGGGAGAGGGAGCGAGAGGGGGATAGGCGGATAGACGGGCGTCGGCACTTTAACTCAATTTGAGGCATTTAACGTATGCTCGGTTGATATTTGATGCGATTTGAGAATCGTTCGCAGCTGCCTCACATCCACTGGTTATTTTTTGCCCGTTTAGAGAGATTTCCCAACGTTTTTTTCGCCCCCTCTTTTTTTTTTTGATTTTGGCCGACAACGAGAAGCAGCCGAAAGGCAAACAAAGTGTAACAAATGTCGTTGCGGACAGGTCAAGAGGGGGCGGAAATGGGCGGGGCTGGGCCGT